ACATATGGCGCCAAAGTAATAAATCTTGAGGGAGATAATGGCCCCCTGCCGTGACAGAAACCCGACACCCATCCGTTTTGAGGAGAGACGGATTCAGGGTCTTTTCGGTCTAAAAACGACTCTCTTATTAGTACTAAAACAGAGTCGGGCCGGCGCCCGTTTTTGTGGTCGTGCGGGTCGTTTTCAGACTCTAAAACAGCGTCGCTTGTTCTATGCGGGATAGAACTGATTGAATATTTTTGCATATGGATACAAACTCCGCAGTACATATTATTATTAAGTAATTTCAGTAAACAAACTTTATAACGGGTTACTGTACCTGGCAGGAAATCTCTGATTGTGTCTCGAGTGTGACCGGGTCAACCAACCAGCTGGAGCTACTTACACCACGCAGTTCGTGACCACCACGCCTGCTCCAAACCAAACCAAATTAGCTGACGCAAATTGAAATTCGTTTAAAATTATTGGAAGCGATAATTTTTTTGTTAAAAGGTGATGCATGCTGTAATTTAAAAAAGATCATTTATTTTTAAATATTACGGTTTAAACTCTAGCGTGCTTATTTAAAGGTTTAGTTTCCTCCAGATGTATTCAGTAGCTGCAGGTCGACCAGGTTCAGGCACTTCACAGGTCAAGGTCAATCGACCACCTGGAGGTTAAAAAAAATTTGGAATTTCACATTTATCATATGCAAATTTAAATTAAAATTAAATAGAAAATATTCAATTTTTCTTTTTCTTTTACCTTTGATAATTGTATCTGAATCTTTTGCGATGGTCGCGTTTCCTAGTGAAATGCATTATTTTATAAAAATGTCATAGGAAGTAAACAATTATACAAAAAAAGTGTATTGCAATATTTTACTCTTTTTCTTTGTAAACCGTAATGAATGATAAAGTTCTGGATCTATATAAATACAAAATATAAAAACAGTTTTTAATTGTTGGTTTTAAGTTCCTGAGGTTAGATTTTTTATAGCTGATAGTTTCCGTTAATGAAGAAAAGAACAGTGGATTTTTTCAATTTATTTGCTAAAATCTTGAGACCGTTTTATGGAAAATTTACCTAAAAGACTGTGAGATAGGAAGAAGACAATCTTTTGGGTTATTGATGTTGTTATAAAGTTTATAATAATTTTACAAGGATCTTGAAAATTAACATTTAAAGTTAAATTGCACAATGTCTGTGTTTCAATGCTCATTGCAATATTTGAATTCACAACCTGAGTCTATCAGTCGTCTTTCTTTTTCACGGTTTTACGGGTCTCACTGTTTGAGAGAAGAAAGAGAAATATTTCTCGAGAAATATTTTTGATTGATGATTGACTTAATTAGTGGAACAAGGTGAGGGGCGTATATGTTTTTCTTTATAATAAAGGATTCAGGATACAACAGTAGAATTATCCTATCACCAAGTTTCTTTGGGAAAAATGTAAACCATAACACGACAAACACTTACTTAAGCTTAAAGATTAGGAGTTTAAAAAGTTGGGAAATTAAAGTAAGATTGGGAAATCTAGGAAATCCTGGGATTTTTGATAGGCCAGATTTTAATTGGGAGTTTGGAACATTTTGGAGCTTAAAGAAGTATAGGAAGGAAGCCCAGGCAAGGTTTGGAGTTCTGAAAACGGGTTTGATCTTTAAAAAACATTGTCAAAGAAAAATTTGGATCTATTGTTATTAGACACTAATTACTCGCCTCCAGCGCGTATTTCTGTCGTAGGCTTGAAATCTGCTAGATCAAATAATCAAATTTGGAATTATCAGATTTTTCACCATCAGGTTACAAATATAGAGATAAGAATTAGATTTTTTTTGACGAGTTGAAATGATGCCAAGCTGACGGTGAGATATACAGTGTATACTGGCATAGAAGGACGACTTTAAGACTCAAGTTATGACTTGTAGAACGATTTTTTTGTAACAACATCAAATACACTTAAGTATTGCGTTAATGTCGTCTTCCTATTTTTCTTCCGCGTTTTCTGGTTCTCACAGTAAAAAAGGTAGGTTTGTATAAATGTCTGTGTTAGTTTAAAAACTTGTATGTTTAACTTGAAAGATCTGTCAGGGCGCAGACAAGAGATCTTCTAAACAGAATACATAATACAACTTTTCAAAAAATTCTTCAACTATTTTGCAGAATTTTTTTTCTCTCTCTCATATCCAGAATACTATTTCTTTATCTCTTTTTCCAGATTATTCGTATTCTCTCTCTTTCCCTGAATATTTATTCTCTCTTTTCCAGAATATTCTTTCCACACACCTTTCCCAGAATATTCTTCCCTCACCCCTTTCCCAGAATATTGTTTCCACACCCCTTTCCCAGAATATTCTTTACACACACCTTTCCNTATTGTTTCCACACCCCTTTCCCAGAATATTCTTTCCACACACCTTTCCCAGAATATTCTTCCCTCACCCCTTTCCCAGAATATTCTTTCCACACCCCTTTCCCAGAATATTCTTTCCTCACCCCTTTCCCAGAATATTCTTTCCACACCCCTTTCCCAGAATATTCTTTCCACACACCTTTCCCAGAATATTCTTCCCTCACCCCTTTCCCAGAATATTCTTTCCACACCCCTTCCCCAGAATATTCTTTCCTCACCCCTTTCCTAGAATATTCTTTCCACACCCCTTTCCCAGAATATTCTTTCCACACCCTTTTCCCAGAATATTCTTCCCTCACCCCTTTCCCAGAATATTCTTCCCTCACCTCTCTCCCAGAATATTCTTTCCACTCTCCTTTCCCAGAATATTCTTTCCACTCTCCTTTCCCAGAATATTCTTTCCACACCCCTTTCCCAGAATATTCTTTCCACACCCCTTTCCCAGAATATTCTTCCCTCACCCCATTTCCAGATTACTCACCCATTTTCCGTTAAATGTTTCCCTTTCTTTTCCAAAATTTAAAAAAATTTTTTTTTCGAGAATACTCTCTCTCTCTCCATTTTCCAGAGTACTTCTTCACTCCTCATACCTCTCCCTTTTCCAGAATACCCTTTCCTCATCCCTTTTCAAAAATATTCTTTCTCCTTTCCTCACCTGAAATTCTGAAAACTTGGTAAAAGTATTCTAGAAGAATTCTTAGTTTCCCTCTGTCCTTTATTTAATATTCTTTAGTCAAGTTTACCAGGAATATATAGAGAAGGATCAACAAATATAGAAAGAGAGGAAGGGAAGAGGAAAGGTGGAAAAATGGGGTGAAGGATGAAAATAGGGGAGGAAAGGAGGGGGAAAGAGGGGAAGGAAAGGAGGGGGAAAGGGGAAAGGAAAGGAGGGGGAAAGGGGAAGTAAAAGAGGGGGAAGGAAAGGAGGGGGAAAGGGGGAAGGGGATGTTAGGGAAGTTTATGGGGCAAAGAATAGAAGAACGAGGGGAGGTTGTATAGTTTAGGGATTTCTTAACATATCCGTAGTCTAAAGTTTAAGCAAAGTTTCTAAAACTTCATAAAAGAATCTTAAATTACTGGAACCTGTATATACGGTATATTCATGAGGGGGGGGGGTAGGCGGGATTCCCCCCTTATAAATTTCGGATAAAGTTTTCATCCTTTTCAAGCAGATGAGTTAGATACTTGAACCTAACCTGTTATAGTTAGTTTTCGTAAATCCTGCTCAAGTTTTCTTCCAGTGTTTGCTCATTAGGAAAATAGAAAAGTTGAAAAATAAATCTCTATTTGGAAACAAAATAGTTTTCCCTTTCTACTTTTAACAAGCTTTTTTTATGAAGTTAATTAAGAACTTTACTAATGGAAATAATGATAATGATAAAAATTATCATAATGATAATAATTATAATTATGATAGTTATGAAAATTATGATAATTATGATAATAATGATAATAATGATATTAATTATAATAATGATATTGATGATATTAATGATATTAATGATATTAATGATAATAATGAAATTAATGATAATAATGATTATAATGATAATAAGGATCAATGATCATAATAGAAAGAATCAGTAATGATAGAAAGGATAGTAATAATAATAATGATATTGTAGATGATAATAATCATAAAGATCGATAGTAAAAATAAAGATAACAAAATTAATCATAATAACAATAAAAATGACAATAATGACAATAATGATAATAATGATAATAATGAATTCCTGGAGGATAGTAAACAATAAGAGGAACAGGGTCTGACATTCGACTCTCTCCAGCTTCCGTCAATCCTAGATAGATAGATAGGTAAATAGATAGTTAGATGAATAGATTGATAGAAGGGACACGCACTTCCTAATTGTTAAGGAAAGGGTCACTTGAAACTATAAATGACCATTTTCTTACAGTGCTTGATTTTTTCTACTCCCTTCAACTATTAAGATTGATAAATTTGAGAGGACCAGAAGTGACAAGAATGCACTTTTTTAAGATGGATGAAACTTAATTTTTAGAACGAGAGGATCAAGAATTTATCCTTTCATATAATCTAGAAAGAGAGATAGAAAGATTTCAGGATTGTTTTGCAGTAGATGCGGATAGTAAGAAAAAACATAATTTTGCTTGATATATAGATAAAAAAGAAATACATAGATTGACATAGATCGATAAAAAGATATGTAGAAAGAAAGAAAGCTATACAGAAAGAATAAGGGGAAAAAGCAATTGCTCGGTAATTAAAGTTTGAGTTTTGTTTTAACCTAGAGTTTGAGTTTATAAATAAATATGTTTTATGACACCTTATTGCTTGAAACCAATTTGCTTTTGCATAAATCTCTCCTTGATACCCCCCCCCTCATATTAAATGAAAATTTATTTTTAAAAAAACTAATTAAATTTAACATTTTGATTTTTCACGCTACTTAACAGCCATCTTTAAAAGTAAAAATAAAAAAATTCTCAGAAAAAAAGTTGTTTTTATCCCAGAGATAGATAAGGTTTCGGAAATAAAAATTATTGGGGACACGCACTTCCTAATTGTTAAGGAAAGGGTCACTTGAAACTATAAATGACCATTTTCTTACAGTGCTTGATTTTTTCTACTCCCTTCAACTCCTTTGTACTTCATTCCATTCTCCACTGATTTTTCCTACTGTACTCCTTTAAACTCCTTTGTACTTCATTACATTCTTCGCTGATTTTTCCTACTGTACACTCCTTTTAACTCCTTTGTACTTCATTCCATTCTCCACTGATTTTTCCTACTGTACTCCTTTAAACTCCTTTGTACTTCATTACATTCTTCACTGATTTTTCCTGTACTCCTTTAAACTCCTTTGTACTTCATTCCATTCTTCATTGATTTTCCCTACTGTACTCCTTTAAACTCCTTTGTACTTCATTCCATTCTTCACTGATTTTCCCTACTGTACTCCTTTAAACTCCTTTGTACTTCATTTCATTCTTCACTGATTTTTCCTTCATATCTAAAACTTACTGATTTATTCATAATGTTCTACTTTACCCCTTTATTCTTCATTTTTCCTACTATACTGGTTTTTCCCTGATATACTCAATTTCCCTGATATACTCAATTTTCCGTGATATACTTAATTTTCCCTGATATACTTAATTTTCACTGATGTACTCAATTTTCCCTGATATACTCAATTTTCTTGATATACTCAATTTTCCCTGATATACTCAATTTTCCTGATATACTCAATTTTCCCTGATATACTTAATTTCCCTGATATACTCAATTTTTCCTGATATACTCAATTTCCCTGATATATTCAATTTTCCCTGATTTATTTAATTTTCCCTGATATACTCAATTTTCCTGATATACTTAATTTTCCCTGATATACTTAATTTTTCCCAATAAACTCAGTTTTCCTGATATACTCAATTTTCCCTGATATACTAAATTTTCCCTGATATACTCAACTTTCCTTGATATACTTAATTTTCCCTGATATACTTAATTTTTCCAGATATACTTAATTTTCCGTGATATACTTAATTTTCCCTGATATACTTAATTTTCCCGGATATACTTAATTTTCCCTGATATACTCAATTTTCCGTGATATACTTAATTTTCCCTGATATACTTAATTTTCTCTAATAAACTCAATTTTTCCTGATATACTCAATTTTTCCTGATATACTTAATTTTCCCGATGTACTAAATTTTATTGATATACTCAATTTTTCCTGATATACTTAATTTTCACTTATGTGTCTTTTTTCCCATGTGTACCTTTTTTCTTTGCTTTATTTTTTAGGAATTTCCTTTTTCTGAATGAACTTTATTTTCGCTGAAATACTAAAATCAAAGGCCAAAGCGGTGTGACACTTCATAATGACCCAGTCTTGTAAATTATAAAAACTTCTATCCGTGTCTGAATCTATGTGATGTGCTTTTTCTCGTGATGAATTTTTCCCCGTAATAGGCGCGCGGACCCCTGAATTGTTTACTATATTTACATCTCAAGGTACAAATAGGAATAGTTTATATTGTAATTACAGAAGTTAGCGCAGAAACTTATTCCAAACATTAATCAGAACAATACACAATAATTAGATAGATAGATAGAAAGATAGATAGATAGATAGATATATATAGATAGATAGATAGATAGATAGATAGATAGATAGATAGATTGAAAGATAGATAGATAGATAGAAACATAGAAAGATAGATATGTATATATAAATAGGTAGATAAAAAAGAATAATAAATTCATGAATTTATAAAAATTGAATTATCAAATTGACAAAATGAAGAATCGATGAATTGATGAATTGCAAGATCGATTAGAGGTTAGAGTACAGGAAGCTAAACACCTATTAAAGTAGTGCTTAGCAATCGATCAATCAATCTATCTATCTATCCATCCATACTGTAATCCTTCCACTCTATTACAAATTTGACAAAGCCTAAATTTTGCTTTTGAAAAACATTTTATGAAGTTTCAAAATTCAATAAAGAAAAACAACCAAAAAATAAATAAGTAGGAATAGAGTAAGTAAAAAGAACAAGCACTGATAAAAGAACAAGAAGTAAAAGAACAGGAACTGATAAAATTACAAGAATAAGTAAAAAGAACAAGAAGAAGTAAAAGAACAGGAACTGATAAAATTACAAGAATAAGTAAAAAGAACAAGAAGAAGTAAAAGAACAGGAACTGATAAAATTACAAGAAAAGGTAAAAAGAACAAAAACTGATGAAAGAACAAGAACTGATAAAATAACGAGAATAGAAAGAAGAACAATTTTGAAAATATGTTTAAGTACCTCTACAGGAGAAATTTCCATGAGACTGCCTTGAGACCTTTTCTAGGAGTAGTATACTGGGATCCACTCCACACAGTTCAGAGGACTCCTAGATAAGATAAGAATTAAGTTTCAAAGGAATCCAAGATAGTTAATTAATCTGTACACTCGAATGCACTCCACATAGGTCAGAGGACTCCTAGATTAGTAAATAAACTTAACTCTGCACTGATTATTGTCAAATGACTCCCAGATAGATTTTTACTTTACTTGTATCCACTCCGCTCAGCTCGGACGACTTCTAGATAAATAAACCTCGAACCAATAATTATAGATCAACGAACTACCAGATAGATAATTAAAGGAAGGGTAAATTTAAAGAAATCCGTCTTTCTTAATATAAAATAGATAGATAAATACATAGATAAAAGAAAGATAGATATATAGATAGATAGATAAATAGATAGACAGCTAGATATACAGATTAATAGATAAATAGATAAATATATAGATAGATATATAAAGATAAAAGAAAGATAGATATAAATACATATATAGATAGATAAATAGATAGATATCTAGATATATAGATTCATAGATAAATATATATATATATATATAGATAGATAGATAGATTGATATACAGATAGATAGATAGATATATAGATATACAGATAGATAGATAGAAATTGTACCTGACACTGTGGTAGTTGTTTAACTAGGATATTGTCTTTATACCAAAGCACGCTGGTCAGTTTACTAGGGTTACCGTCCACCACGTCACAGTGCAAGCTTACGCTACTAAACAGAGGGATATTTTAGAATCATAACTCGAGATTGATCAAGGGGGGGTTATGAGCAGCAGTGATGATATATGCAAAAAAAAGTCCTAAAATCTCAAACCCTTTAATATTTTAACTCTGACTATTTTATCAAGCACATAGTTTGAAATACCAAAAATTCCATTAGGTTTTAAAGTTTTAAGGATAAAAATTAGAACTTGAGGCAAGAGAAAAAGGCAGTTTGAACCAAGCCTGCCTAGTGAAAGAAGAAAAGTTGAGTTTGAACAGTGTGTGTAAATAATCTGTAAGGAAATGGGAAATGATATTGGAAAATGAATTGATGATATGATAGGATTTGGGGGGGAAATATGAATTAGGGGCGTTAAGGAGCAACTAGAGAGAGTGGAGGGGTGTGGGGGATTGAGAGGTTTCTGTAGAATTTGTTTCATATGATGATGAGAGAGCTACAATTACTATGAATGGTATACGGGTAGAACTAATTTAGATGTATCTATGCATAATACAAATGTATGTATGTATGTATACAAGGTGAATGATTAAGGAAAAGGTTATGGTACTCTGGAAGAGTATAATGAGAAAATGCATAATTAACAATGTTTGGATAAACAAGTAAAGTAGAGTACGGAAATAGTAAAAGATAAGGTAAAACCATAGAGAATATAATATATAGAGAGGAATTTACTAGAAAAAAGTGTAAAACGGCCATTTTGTTGTTTTTATTCACCTAATTCATTATAAAGTTTATTAAACAGTTTTAAAGATTCAAAATTGAAATGGAGAGTCTAGGGAACATACTGTATTAATGTACTCTACTGCATATAATTTGTGAACATTTACATGATTTGTACACTTTGAACTCCCTTTCAGGCTGAAAGGGACTGAAAAAATTCATACCGACAGATTCTTTTAATTCCTCTCTATATATTCTATTCTCTATGGGTAAAACATTATTTCTTTAACAGATATATGTGGAAAAAAATTCTTCAGGGTTACCCACAAAGGATAAGACATGTCAGAAATGTCCCCAAAGGAACTGAGTCTTTGCAACAAACTCTGATTTTCTAATCCTTATATTGTCCCAACCAAATGTCCTAGACCTTAGATATTTCAAACTATGAATTCTGTTAGCTCAACTGATCTAAGTTTGAAATATCAAATGTTTACAACATCAGGTCACTAAGATATTGGAATTTGAAAATTTAAGTTTGTGGCAAAAAATCAATTTCTTTATTGACAAAAATGAAAAACGATAAAAACAGGAAACCCTGTGTACTTTTAATGTTATTGTTTTATAATGCACTAGCATGTAAACCCAGCTTTGCCTGGGAAATAAACTTTTCTACAAAATTAAAGCCATTCAAATTTACAAACCAAACTTGGTTATGGTTTTGATCTGCCATCCAAACAAACAAACAGAGATTATAGCTTTATAATATAGAGAAAATGAAATATGGTTGCAGTTAAAGTATCATGTATAATAAAACTACCCTAGAAGCCAAGAAAGCCATAGGTTTAACATATTTGGAGTTTTTAATTTTAGAGATTATATTTTGGAGTTTATATTTTGGAGTTTTTATCTTAGAGATAATATTTTGGAGTTTATATTTTAGAGATTATATTTTGGAATTTATATTTTTGAGTTTATATTTTAGAGATTATATTTTGGAGATAATATTTTTGAGTTTATATTTTTGAGTTTAAATTTTAGAGATTATATTTTCGAGTATATATTTTAGAGATTATATTTTGGAGATAATATTTTGGAGTATATATTTTAGAGTTTACATTTTATATTTTATATTTTGGAGTTTCTATTATGAAGTTTATATTTTGCAGTATATAAGTTTATAACTTTAAGTTTTATTCTTGAGTTTATATTTAAGAAGTTATATTTTGGAGTTTATAATTTGGAGTTTATAATTTGGAGTTTATATATTAGAATTTGTATTTTGGTGTTTATATTTTGGAGTTTATATTTTGGAGATTATATTTTGGAGTTTATATTTTAGAGATTATATTTTGGAGTTTATATTTTAGAGATTATATTTTGGAGTTTATATTTTGGAGCTTACATTTTGGAGTTTACATTTTATATTTTATATTTTATATTTTATATTTTGGAGTTTCTATTATGAAGTTTATATTTTGCAGTATATAAGTTTACAACTTGAAGTCTTATTCTTGAGTTTATATTTAAGAATTTATATAATCATAATAATTATACTTTAAAATTTATATTTTGGAGTTTGTATAGATGAGTTTATATTTTTGAGTTTATATTTTAAAGATTTTATTTTGGAGTTTATATTTTGAAGTTTAAATTTTAGAATATGTATTTTGGACTGAAACATACTTCGTGTACAATGTTGTTAAAATTTTTATGAAAAACTAAGAACTTAAACCTAGTAAAGTTTCCCTATAATTAATCTAACCTCTGATCTGGTTCCCGGATGGGAGAGTCCGGTTGCATCCGGATCCGAACAGTCGGAGGATGATAAACGTCGAGGGTTGTTGAACCTTGGGATGATCCGGATCCCATCTCGTTCTCTGCAAAAACAAAATTTTGTTAAAGGAATTGAGTCTTTGCCACAAACTCTGGTATTTAAATCCCTATATCTTAACAACCCAAAGTTGTAGACCTTAGATATTTCAAACTATGACTTCTGTTATATCAAACAATCAAAGTTTGAAATATCTAAGGTTTACATAATTTGGTTGTAGATATATAGGTATTAGAAAATTGGGATTTGTTGCAAAGATTTAATTCCTTTTACTCAATAAAGATTTTTTAAGGTAAAAATGCAGTCATAATTATTTAGTTATAAATTATTATTTCATTTCCATAATTTTGTTCGTTTTAAAAAAAGAATTATATGATAACTATTAAAGTTACAATGGAATAAGAACCAAACATACAAGAATACAAGAATAATGTGTTGAATTACTTTAAAATAGTAATTCAACACATTATTAATTTCGTCTATCACACACTGCGCTCATTTCAGGTTAAACCGCCGGTTAAAACTGCGTCAAAGTGATACAAATTCGTAAGAAAGGTTAACCCTGTGTAAATATAGATGCGTACAGCACGATAAAGGCAGTGTGCGTGTGTAGATGAAAGTGCATGTTAACAGCTCTATACATTATAAACCATGGGCACATCTACACCCTACAGAGGGGGGGGGGTAGATAAGGGAAATGTCATATTCACACCAGTACCCTTGAAACTATTATCAGAATAATAATGAAGAAGATATCAAAGATCTAAAAAGATAAAAATTATCTTTCTCAATGTCTCTGATATACAGATATTATTTTCAAAGAAACATCATTGAAATTTCAAGGAAACACAACGTAAATCGAGCATGTAACTTTTTAAATTACTTAATAAGATACTGATATTACTTGTCAGTTCCATTTAAACAAAATACATTCATGCAGGACTAGGTTTGGTTTCTTCAATTTTAATTCAATCACATTTTGGTTTATAATTCAAAAATACTGTAAAACAAGGAAACATTTATGTTTGATTGGTGAATTGGTATCTAAAGTGACAGCCTGACAAGGACCGAACTATTAACCCTATCCCTGCTGGGGTACTTGTAAAACCATGATTCGCTGGGGGGGGGGGGATCCCCCCCTCAAAACATTTATGTTTGATTGGTGAATTGGTATCTAAAGTGACAGCTTGACAAGGACCGAACTATTGACCCTATCTCTGCTGGGGTACTTGTAAAACCATGATTCGCTGGGGAGGAAAATCCCAAGTTTTATGTCCAAATATGACAGATGAAACATCATTAGAGTCTGCAAAGAAATTTGCAAATTTACAAAAAGGAAATTTTTCTGCAAGTTTTTTTGTAAAATGTTTGCGAAAAAAATGTTCAAAAATTAAAAAAAACATTTTTGAAAAGCCCTTTTGCAAAATTTCAAATAACCTGGTGTGTAATTAAGAAAAACTAAAAATGTGGAAATTTCTTTTAACAGGTTGTATGCAAATAATTAGCAAAAGTTTCTTTGCAAAATTTATGCAATCCGTTTCCTTATATCATAGGTTTTCCAAAATGTTAAAAGTGGGTCAAAACAAAAATTTCGTTAGTTACAGGAAAAAGCAGTCATTCAGGCAGTGTGCCTGAGGACTCAGGCAGTTAGTATAGAAGCCTGGTTTAGACCTAAAGGAAGGGCTATAGTTATTAAGGAAAAGACAGAAAATTTCAATACAATAATTTTAAGTTATGAAAAAAAACTATAGAGGGGTCAAATTAAACCCCCCCCCCCCCAGCAGGAATAGGGTTAAATCAACGTAAAGAATTGCTTACCTAGAATACATGAGTATGATCCTCTATCTTGTTTACTAGATCTAAGAATAGTTAGCGAGGGTTGATCAATTGTCCCTCCTATAAACCTCCCTCGTTCCCTCGTATTTAGCACCTCACCATTCAAAAACCATTTCACCTAAAAGTAGTCAAATTAATAATTTTATTTACTTAAGCCGAAATGCACCCACTGAATATTATTGAGAAAAAGTTAAGAATTGGATATATCACTCAACTACTAAATCAGAGAAAAAGTTAACATTGAATATATCACTGAACTAATAAATCCGAAAAAAAGTTAACAACTAGATGTATCACTCAGCTACTAAATCAGAGAAAAAGTTAACAACTAGATAAATCACTCAACTTCTAAATCCGAGAAACAGTTAACAAATAGATAAATCACTCAACTATACGAGCTATATCACTCAACTACGAGAAATATCACTCAACTACTTAATCATTTGTTGAAGAGAACTGGAACTACTCATTAGATATTAAGAACAACCATGTTTCTTATTCTTTTTCTTTACCCAACAATCTAGATGTAATCTGAGTTACTTCAGAGGAAGGTTTTTGTTCTGAGGATGACACTAATCCCCCTCCCCTTTCCTGCCTATCCCCCCTCCCCTTTCCTGTCTTATATACATCATCTTTCTACCTTCCCTTTTCTTGTCCTATATCCCCCCTAATTCTAGTCCCATCAAACTTCCTCCTCCCTCACCTTCCTGTCCATTCACCCATATGTCCTTTTAAGTTCTACTGTTTCCCTCCATCCCATAACCCCTTCTGTCCTCCTCCCTTTATGTCCTAACCCCCTAAACCTTGTCCACCTCCTACTAACTCCCCACGCCCATCCCAACTCCTTCCCCTTCCCTTAATGTCCTAACTTCCTCTTTCCCTTTTATCCTTCACAGCCCCTTTCTTAACTCTTCAAACTCCTACCCTAGCCTCTACACCTTCTCCCTACCCACACCAACCATTTATTTATCTAACACAGCCATACAGATTCAAACTCACTCATTCTCATCAATTTATCTTTCTCATCTTAGCATCCTGATTTATCTTTCTCATCTTAGCATCCTGATTTATCTTTCTCATCTTAGCATCCTTATTTATCCTTCTCATCTTTGCATCCTGATTTATCCTTCTCATCTAGCATTCTTATTTATCCTTCTCATCTTAGAATCCTTATTTATCCTTCTCATCTTAGCATCCTCATTTATCCTTTTCATCTAAGCATTTTTATTTACCTTTTTCATCTGCGCACCCTTATTTATCCTTCTCATCTTAGAATCCTTATTTATCTTTCTCATCTAGCATTCTTATTTATCCTTTTCATCTTTGCATCCTGATTTATCCTTCTCATCTTAGAATCCTTATTTATCTTTCTCATCTTAGCATTCTTATTTATCCTTTTCATCTTTGCATCCTGATTTATCCTTCTCATCTTAGCATCCTTATTCATCCTTTTCATTTTTTCATCCTAATTTAAAATTCTTGTTTTTAAATATTTATTTATTCTTCTGTAGGTTCTGTAGAAATCTTGAATCAGTTTCTTTAAATTTCTTAATTTTTCATTTAATTTTCTGACCTGTGTTAGTTTAGCTGGGTTAGATTTGTAACTGCATCTGATGCTGGCCTGCTGGCTGCTGTTCACAGTCAGGTTAGTTGGAGAGGTGTACACCACAGGGGGGTACAGTACAACCAATCTAGGATAGATAATGTACATGTGGGTAGAGTACAACCAATCTAGGATAAATAATTTACATGTGGGTAGAGTACAACCAATCCAGGAAAGATAATGTACAGGTGGGAACAGTACAACCAATCTAATATAGATAATGCACAGGGGGGACAGTACAACCAATCTAGGATAGATAATGTACAACTGGGTACAGTACAACTAATCTAGGATACATAATGTACAGGTGGGTACAGTAGAGTACAACCAATCTAGTATATATAATGTATTGGTGGGTACACTACAACCAGTCTAAGATGGATTATGTACAGGTAAGTACAGTGCAGTCTGATTTAATTCCTAAAACATGAGAAGAAAAATATACTTCTTCAATAAATACCAACTTTTCTACTTATTCAACTAAGATGGAAAATATAAAAGATTTTCTTTCAAAGTTTTATGAACGTCACCTGTTTAATCTTCGGAGGTTTCAATTTTAATTTTGATTTGTCTTCTTAATATTTGATACAAACACCAATTCAGGGTGCCTTGAATCACATCATTGAATCCAAAAATTGTACCCCCCCCCCCCAAACCTCTGAATCCCCCTCAACCCCCTTCTCTCTCAACACCCGATTATCTTAGGACAAATACGAAAGTCGAAATAGAAAAAAGTTGGTTAAAAGTTAGTTACTGAATGCAGAAGCAGGAGAGGAAGTTATTAATTAAAAAGTTTCTTTTGCAGCTTCTACGAAACTTGAGAAAAAAGAAACTTGCATTCTTGTAAATTTCTGTAAATAACTACAAAAACTTTGAGAAGGTGTTAACACGAAAAGCTTTAGAAGCTCGGGGGGGAGGGGTCACTTTCTGGTTTATTTCAAGGCTTTAAATGTGCTTTCTTGATTCAGATACTTGGAACCGGCAGAAAAAAATTGCTTGACTTTGAATTTAAATTCAATTTAATTAACAAAGCGGGTAAGCCTAGTAAGTATAATTTCGTGGCTTTCTCTCAAATAAATATTTAGCCCAGAGGCCGAATTTAAAGAATTTGAGGTGCAGCTCAAATATGGTTGGTTCCATTTAATGTTTTAAGATTTAATTGGAACAGGGTTTTAGAGGATTTGAGACGCGGCTCAAATTCATTATTTCCGGATTCAGTTATCGTTCTTTATCGGAATTCTCGTTAGATAGTTGAACTTTTGTTATTTTTTTTTCTTAAACGTTTTGTTCTTTTCAATTTTCCGTTGATTTTATCAAAAACCAGCTTTTTCCCTTTTTTCTCACGCCCTTAGTAAGATGCGGAACCTACAATTTGAACCTGTATTTACTTAACTTAAATACAACAAACGTTCGCATTTAATTCCAGTCTCACAGATCTCAACTTGGAAAAGTTTGAATTATTTTATTTAGGGTGTAAACTCTAAAGTAAAGTGGACAAAAAGTTTACCCCTTAAACTTTTAACAATTTCCTTGAAGAGCGGGAAATATTTCATGTTACAAGTATATCTATAGCAATAAAAAACTTTGATATAACAAAGAAGATAAATAAAATTTTCCAAAAAGAAAGCAAATAAATAAATAAGGTAAATTTCAGGAAATACTTGTATAAAATGTTTTTTAGTTGCAAACTTGAAAAAGTATTCTGGAAGATACCAAAAAGATGTTTTTTTTTAATTCTATCAAATTGAGAGACAAAACTTTACCCATTTTAAAACTTTATTTTAAACTTCAGAGTTAAATTATTAATATTTAGTATTTTTGAGTTTAATTCATAATTTTTCAGTTTTAAATAATGCCCCGACTCCAAGCTTAGTTTAAGGAACTGATTATTCACCTCAAATTTTCTAGTCCTCATATATTTGCAACCTCGTTTTAAATATCAAAGTTTTAATCGTTAGGTTGCACAGATATAAGAATTAGAAAAATAGAGTAAGGACACGTAATCAGTTCCATTTCAAACTGTTAAGTTGACCCATCAGAGATCAGTAGAATTGCGCCAATAAAAGCAAAAGTTTAAACTTACAAACCAAACCTGAACACGGCGAATAGACTAATTGTTGACGAGTTTGAATTGATGATCAATCATGAAAACAGCTCGTGCAAGGGTCGAGGAGCCTGTAATTCAAGCTGGAAGATGTTTCATCTATCTATCTATCTATAGTAATCTGTCATTTTGCAACCTCCACCTGACCTTGCAGAATTCTTGCGGTTTTATTTGCAACACTCATCAATTATTACATATTCTCTAAGTGTATACATACATCTTTCTATATCGATCTACATATAAGTCTATCTGTCTTTCTATTTATATATCTATCTAGTTTTTTTTCTGTCTATCTGAATACCTGTCTACCGATCTACATATAAGTAAATCTTATTTTATATTTCCGTTCATCTTTCTAACTTTTCATCAATCTATTTTTCTATCTGTCTATCTATCTATCTTTCTATGTGTCTATCTATTTATCTTTCTATCTGTCTATCTATCAATATTATCTATCTGTCTACATGTCTGTCTAGCTGTCTGAGATAAATGTCTGTTTTCTATCTATTCCTTTATCAATCAATCTTATTTATCCATCTTTATGTTAGAAAACGTACATCGATTCAAGAAAAACTATCTTAAGCTTAATATGTCCAGGTCACTGTATTAGAAAAACAAAGCATAAAAAGGTTCGAATGGATTTAATTTTCAAATAAAATAGTTTAACACAAATTTTAGAATAGAAAGGTAGGAAAAATCTGCTTTTGCCTTTTGAAAGGAAAAAAGATTTTAAAAATATCAAATCTCCGTAATTGTATTGCCTCGTTTTGTTGGCATAGCACCAAATAAAAATCCTCTTCACACTGCAGATGCTACAAATGAAGGAATAAAATCAAATGAAAAAAAAATCAACAAAACTTTAAGAGAAAATATACACAAGTTAAAATCATAAAAGTGCATAACAATGATGAAATATGACCCAGAACGAATTCACCACCCTTTTATATATTCATGCACGACAGAAAAAAGGACATTTGAAAAGTTGAGAAGCATGGCTTTAACAAAATACATTACGAGGAAATGAACTGTTCAATTCTTCAATTATCATGGAAGAGTGCAGAGTGCAGTCCTCTGCAAAATGAAAAACTGCACGTTTTACGATCCTTGCGCAATTTCTGCGCACGTGCTCACCCGGCCGTTCAGATTACTTTGTAGCCATTGTTAATTTATTATTATGATTTATTTACTGATAATCATTATTATTTATATTCAAGTTCAGGGTTTTTACTACTTCATGCCTCCGTAGAGTTTACTGAATAAATAAACATTATGATTTATTACCCCCCCCCCCCTCTAACAGTAATTGCAAAACATTCTTTTCTTCCTTAATTCAGGCCTGATCTATGTATAATGTGTAGGTTTAAGCTCTATATATCATGTAGTATTCATGTAGGGTGACAGTATACTATTCACATATTTACCATTGATTTATATATTCTTTTTATCCTTTGCGTTGTATTCACATTCTTAATATTCTTCGTTCTTCAGAAAAACTTCATATCCTTTTCCTTTTTCATATATTTCTATCTATCTATAGTGAAATAGTTCAGAGAATTTTGACTTCTAAGGATTGTTTGTCATAAGGCGTGTAACATTATGTTTAGTATAATTCTTTTTTAATAAAATGTGAAGTTTAAAAACTGAAATATGATTAGATATACATATTCATAATTTTAATCTTTGCTCTCTATAATTTTTAAACGGTCTAAAACGTCTTTTTAAATTCTATAATGCTCAATTTTTCGACAATTTTAAAATCTTTGAACAATTTTTCAATTCAAATTTACAAAACACACTTTCTGCAGAAACACTTCTTTCTTTCATCTTACATTTACTTTCTTCCATTTATGTCATGTCGTTGAAATTTCAAACTATGAATTCTGCTACATCAGATATTCAAAGGTTGAAGTATCAAATATTTAATTAGATCATCAAGTTTCTAAAATATGGTGAATTAAGTTTGAGGCGGGTAATCGTTTACTTTACTTTCGATGCCTATGTAATAGTTTAAACAAATACCTTGTATCCGCTCTCAAAGCTTCCTCTTCGTAATATTCAATAACCTCGTTCTTGGCCTCGCAGAACATCTTCTGGTTGTCCTCGAACCTCGAGGCAGGAAATACAAGAGTACTGGATGTAGTATATGTTCCATCCTCTTGTAGATTCACCTTTAAACAAAGTTAAATTAAAATGTGTCAAACAAAGAATTATTTTAAATTGATTTTTCTTAAATTAAAATTCTTTGAAACAAAAATTGTTTTTACAACCATTTAAAATGTTTTTTTTACAGATATTCAACTAGTTCAAACACAATTTTTTTTTTCTTTTGAAGAACATTTCTTATGACTAAAATCTCATTATTTTACAATTTTTTATACAAAATATACAAAAATTGAATTAATTTAAACCAAATTTTTTTCTTTCTTAAATAAACACATTTTTGTCTTTTTTGTTTAATCTACCTGTCCTGCTGGCTGATGAGGATAGAGGCTGCTACCATTAAACCAGGTAAGTACGGCTGCAGGTCGAGAGCCTGCAGCGAGGCAGGTCAACCTAACCTCGCCACCCTGCCGGAGAGTAACCTCGCCGCCGGAGATTTTAACAGTTTCCGGCCGGAGGCTAATATCCAACTGTACAGAGGCCACTAGAGGAGATTCCAGAGCCTCGTTCTTAGATCTAGATTATCATTCTTTATTATTATTTTTAGTACAATTATTATTATTAATATTATTATAATTATTATTATTATTATTATCACTATTATCATCAACAATTGCATACATTTTTATTGTATAAAAGAGTAAATGATAAATTATCCGTAAGTCATAAATCATGGACGTTTACGACGAATTTGCGAAATATTAGACAATACTATCATTGTTGACTAAAGAGAAATGTATTAAGATATTTCAACTTGTATTTCTTTATTATTTGTGTATAAACCTCATCTGTATTCTAAGCACGACCTAATTAAACCAAAATGCTATAGTTAAAGGAATTGTTAAGATATTTGAAAATTTAAAAAAAACGTAAATAGTAAACAATCGATACAAAGAATTATCACCAATTCAAAAAAATGGTTGAACCATTCTTTAACATAGAGCTGCTAGAGCATCCAATTCTGATATTGAGCTAGAGGAGCATCCCTCTAATATTGAGCTGGTATACCATCCCTTTAGTATTGAACTGATAGAGCATCCCTCTAATTTTGAGCTGTCAAAGCATCCCTTTAATATTGAGGTGGTGGAGCATCTCTCTAATATAGAGCTGGTTGAGCATCCCTCTAATATTGAACTGGTTAAGCATCCCTCTAATATGGAGCTGGTGGAGCATCCCTCTAATATTGAACTGATTAAGCATCCCTCTAATATGGAGCTGGTGGAGCATCTCTCCAATATTGAGCTGCTAGAGAATCCCTCTAATATTGAGGTGGTGGAGCATCTCTCTAATATTGAGCTGCTAGAGCATCCCTCTAATATTGAACTGGTTAAGCATCCCTCTAATATTGAGCTGGTGGAGCATCTCTCCAATATTGAACGGCTAGAGAATCCCTCTAATATTGAGGTGATGGAGCATCCCTCTAATATAGAGCTGGTTAAGCATCCCTCCAATATTGAGCTGGTGGAGCATCTCTCTAATATTGAGCTGCTAGAGCATCCCTCTAATATTGAACTGGTTAAACATCACTCTAATATGGAGCTGGTGGAGAATCTCTCCAATATTGAGCTGCTAGAGAATCCCTCTAATATTGAACTGGTTAAGCATCCCTCTAATATTGAGCTGGTGGAGCATCTCTCCAATATTGAACTGCTAGAGAATCCCTCTAATATTGAGGTGTTGGAGCATCCCTCTAATATTGAGCTGCTAGAGCATCCATCTAATATTGAACTGGTTGAGCATCCCTCTAATATTGAGCTGGTGGAGCATCTCTCCATTATTGAACTGCTAGAGAATCCCTCTAATATTGAGCTGCTAGAGCATCCATCTAATATTGAACTGGTTGAGAATCCCTCTAATATTGAGCTGCTAGAGCATCCCTCTAATATTGAACTGGTTAAGCATCCCTCTAATATTGAGCTGCTAGGGCATCCCTCTAATATTGAGCTGGTTAGGCATCTCTCTAGAATTTATGAGAACACTTCACTAATGGATTGGACACTAAACTAGCGAAGGGATTATATTAAACCTGGGCTTTACTCATCCTTTCATTCATTAATCCCTCCTTTCATCTCATTCTTTCATTTAATAATTCATCCCTTCACCTAACCCTTTCAGTCATAAATTCATCTTTTCATCTATTGATTCATCCATTCAGTTCCTTCTTTTTATTCGTTAATTCATTCTTTCAGTTCATCCTTTCATTCATTAATTCATTTTTTCACCTAATCCTTTTATTCTGTAATTCATCCTTTCGGTTCATTCTTTTATTTTTTCATTCATCATTTCAGTTCATCCTTTTATTCTTTAATTCATCCTTTCAGCTCATCCGTTTACAAATCCTTTCATTCATTAGTTCATCCTTTCATATCATCCTTCTACACATTCTTTCATTCATTATTTCATTCTTTCACATAATCCTTTTACACATCCTTTAATTCATTAGTTCATACTTTTAGTTCATCCTTTTACTCATCCTTTCATATCATCCTTTACACATACTTTCATTCTTTAATTCATACCTTCATATCATCCTTTTATTTATTAATTCGTCCTTTCATATCATCCTTTCATTCATTAATTCGTCCTTTCATATCATCCTTTTTTTCGTTAATTTATCCTTTCATGTCATGCTTTTACACATCTTTTTATACATCCCTTCATTTGTTAATTCATCCTTTCATTTCATCCTTTCACTCATCATTTTACAGATTTGCAATAGGTTTGATAAATGTATTTAATGCTAAAGAATGAATGAATGGGTTTGATGAATGTAATTAATGCTAAAGAATGAATGCATGGGTTTGATGAATGTATTTAATGCTAAAGAATGAATGAATAGGTTTGATGAATGTATTTAATGCTAAAGAATGAATGCATAGGTTTGGTGAATGTATTTAATGCTAAAATATGAATTAATAGGTTTGATGAATGTATTTAATTAAAAAAATGAATGAATATGTTTGATAAATGTCTTTAACGATAAAGAAAGAGTTAATAGGTTGGTTGAATTTTTAAACAGTAAAGAATGAATGATTATGTTTGATGAATGTATTTACGGATGAAGAAAGAAAAGAATGAATAGGTTTGATGAATGTATCTAATGATAAAGCAAGAATGAATAGGTTTGATAAATGTATTTAATGATAAAGCAAGAATAAAATAGGTTTGATGAATGTATTTAACAATGAAGAATGAATAGGTTGATGAAAACTGAATTTATTTAAAGAAAAGTAGAAAACTGGGAAGAATTGACCATTTCCCCAAATTGTATTCTCCTTGTTCTCCATGTTCTTACCATTATACAAAATGAATATGTTGGAAACTTCGCTTATCTATCTATCTATATATCTGTAGTCTATATATTTATATATCTATCCATCTATCTATCCATCTGTTGTCTATCTATATATTTATTTTTAATAACTCCTTACGAACTTCTAGAATATTTCTAGTTCTCCTTTAAAGCTAAATTTACCTCTATTTGTGTACTTTTCTATAGTTCTCTATCGAATTTAGAGGAAACTGACGGGAATTTAATTAGATGATTAGACCAATCCCCCCCCCCCCCCCCACCCATCCGGATTTCTCCATGGGATACTCAACCTAGTGAGAATTTATAGAATTATCCTGATTAGTTTGAAGGATGGGTAAATGAAGCTTGAAACATTTCTAGATTTTGAATTGATCAACACTATTTTCATTTCTATAGAATCAGATGTTTCTATAAATAGAATTATTAATTTTTCCCCACAACTCACAAGAAATTGTTTCTCATTTAAGCTGTTTGGGAAAGGCTACATTGTATTCCATTAATTTTCGCAGCAAACAACCCATTAATCTGGAGATTAATAACAAGAGGAGAACAAGCATTGCTTAATCTAGTGATTAAGAAAAAGTGAAGATAAAGCATTGATCTAGATATCCAATATTCTAAAGTTTTCAGCTCTTATAGATCAATTCCTAAACATGATCCAAATAGTTCAAGTTCGAATATTTTAGTTTACAAACTCTGGTTTCTTCAAAACGTTTTTATGTAAACATTTGTTTTTAGATGTGGCGGACAAGTCGTCCTACTTTCCGCCGTAATGTCTGCAAGTACTTTCCTCATATAAACTCATGTGTTGTTTTTAGAGATTAATTCTTTTATCAAAATCCTGGCTTTACATAATAGAAGCTTCGAACAATGAAAGATTTTTGTTTCACAATCTATCACTTAGTGCGGGTAGATATTTGAATTGGTTGCGCCATAATTAAAATTTTAATGTGTTTGATAAGTGAAAAGATATCACTCACAATTATCTAAACTGAAAACAAGCATTAACTATAGACAGGGCCGACTTTAAAGCTTAGCAAATCCAGGGTTTTCCTTATAACTTTACGTAGCCTTGTGCATACAGATTTAATTCAAATAGTAATAATATTTAACTTGATATAAAGCAATTCAGTATTGATTAATTATTTTTTTGTGTGCTATTTTTAGTAAACAGCTGATACTTTAAGTTTTAAGAATCATTCAGCTTTGCGACCAATTGACTCTCTGACCTGCACTCTAGTTTAGCTCCTAGCTGTTTCCGGTCCACTGTTAGAGTGATCTCACTTCGACCAGTCCCACGCCGGTCAGAGTCCTCACTGCTACTGGTTCGACCAGAAACCGGTTTTCCCTCCATATACCAGGTAACCTGGAACATGAGTACAATATATTTGAGGATTTACGTTAATGAATCGCAAATAAGTACTAATGATCAAAGATCTACAAAAAATTAAACATTCATCATTTGCTGAGGATCTACTTGAATGAATGAAATACAAATATCAATTAATGAGGATCTAGAAGAATAAATGAGATATTTATCTATGAATGAAGATCTAAAAGAATGAATGAGATATATATCAGTGAATGAGTATCTAGAACAATGAATGAGATGTATATAAGTGAATGAGTATCTAGAAGAATAAATGAGATATATATCAATGAATAAGCATCTAGAGGAAAGAATGAGATATTCGTTAATGAATGAGGATCTAGAAAAATGAATGAGAGATATATCAATGAATGAGGGTCTAGAAAAATGAATGAGAGATATATCAGTGAATTAGGATCTAGAAAAATGAATGAGAGATATATCAATGAATGAGGATCTAGAAAAATGAATGAGAGATATATCAATGAATGAGATATATATCAATGAATGAGTATCTAGAAGAATAAATTAGATACATATCAGTGAATGAGTATCTAGAAGAATGAATAAGATATATATCAGTGAATGAGTATCTAGAAGAATGAATAAGATATATATCAGTGAATGAGTATCTAGAAGAATGAATGAGATATATATCAGTGAATGAATATCTAGAAGAATGAATAAGATATATATCAGTGAATGAGTATCTAGAAGAATGAATGAGATGTATATAAGTGAATGAGTATCTAGAAGAATAAATGAGACATATATCAATGAATAAGCATCTAGAGGAAAGAATGAGATATTCGTTAATGAATGAGGATCTAGAAAAATGAATGAGAGATATATCAGTGAATGCGTATCTAGAACAATGAATGAGATGTATATAAGTGAATGAGTATCTAGAAGAATGAATGAGATATATATCAGTTAATGAGTATCTAGAAGAATGAATAAGATATTATCAGTGAATGAGTATCTAGAAGAATGAATAAGATATATTTCAGTGAATGAGTATCTAGAAGAAGGAATGAGATATATATCAATGAATGAGTATCAAGAAGAATGAATAAGATATATATCAGTGAATGAGAATCTTCCATTAAAGAAGTAAACGCAATAAATTATTCAAAGAAGAAGAATACGAGAAGAACGATAAAGAAACAGAAAAACACTTTAGATGGAGATCATAGCATGTAATGATCCGGGGGAACATTAGTTATTTTCCCCTCAATAACACTGTATGCTTACTACACAGAGAGTCTCAGTAAACATTAAAGGGACAAGTCACTTTTTTCAGCAAAATATTGGGAATCAAAAACAGTGTTTAATATTTAAGATCTTAAACCTTAAATTATTTAAATTTGCTTAAAAAATGTCGGTATATTTTAGAAACGAGAACATTTTTGGCCTTTTATAATAACTGCATAAACCCTCTATACATTGACTTTTGTCACCCCGATTATATACAAATAGTTTGATAGAACCAAAACTATTAAAAGAACTGAGGAGAAGGAGAGAGGGCTGTTTAAAATGTATTGTGACGCATCAGAACAGATAAAAAACTAGGTTTCTCTATTATAAACAAATGTGGCTTTTCTGTCTTGTCTGTTCCTATTTCTAGTTTGATTGTATAGAAGTATAATACCTGTGGTAAAGGTTTTCTGTCATGTCTGTTCCTATTTCTAGTTTGGTTGTATAGAAGTATACCTGTGGTATAGGTTTTCTGTCATGTCTGTTCCTATTTCTAGTTTGATTGTATAGAAGTATACCTGTGGTATAGGTTTTCCTCCCCCGCTCTCACAGATGAGGGTCAACTCAGTTCCTTGGTTAAACGGTCCAACAACACTAAACAATAAATATGAACAATATAATAAAATTATGATTGAAAGATTGTCGTTATAATAACTAAGTGTGTTTGTTTACAATTACATGCCTGATCGAATGTCCCTGCCCCAGTAGAAAATGAGAGATGAATGAATTAATTAATAGCTACATATTAGCTATAATTGTCCTGGTTTCTGTCCCTCTAGAAAGTAAATGATGAATGAATAAATGAATATCTACCTATTAGCTAGAAGTGTCCTGGTCATTGCCCCTGTAGAAAATGAAGAATGAAAGAACGAATGAATGAATATCTACCTATTAGCTAGAAGTGTTCTAGTCCCTGCTCCTGTAGAAAGTGAAAGATGAAAGGATGAATGAATGAATGAATGAATGAATATCTACCTATTAGCTAGAAGTGTCCTAGTCCCTGCTCCTGTAGAAAGTGAAAGATGAATGAATGAATGAATGAATATCTACCTATTAGCTAGAAGTGTTCTAGTCCCTGCTCCTGTAGAAAGTGAAAGGTTGACATATCTAGGTTGTGAGAGGGTTGTAAGTTTAACTAGTTGAACTACAGGACAGTTTTTACTAATATCTAAACAAAATTAAGGCTTATTAGAAAACATAAAATGAATAGATTAGTGTGATGAATTATGGATTTAAGAATAATAAATGATAAATTACAGATTTAGGAATGACTAGATGAATATGAGAAATTACAGATTTATGAATGAATATATGAAAATGATGAATTGTAGAATTACAAATGAATTAGGAAATGTGATGAATTATAAATTTAAGGATGAAGAGATGAATAAATGAATTATTGGTTTATGAATGAATAAGTGAAAATGACGAATTATAGATTTAAGAATGAATTGATGAACATATATATATTATGATGATTATATATAAATATGATGAATTACAGATGTAAGAATGCAAAGGTGAATATGATGAATCACAGATTTAAAGATGAATAGGTGAATATGATGAATTACAGATTTAAGGATGAATAGGTGAATATGATGAATTATAGATTTCAAAAAAATGATAAATATGATGATTTTTAGATTTAAAAATGAATAGGTGAATATGATGAATTATATAATTTTAAATGTTTAGACAAATATGAGAAAGTTTTTATATGAATATGTGAGTTGGATGGATAAATAAATGAATGAAAGAAAAATCTCACCTAAGAATGTAATTTCACATTTGTATTCTCCCTCGTCCGTTGTCTCTATAGGAGATATACTCAACCTTGCCTCTCTAGGGACATCCAGACAATCAATCAATCAATCAATTAGTTAAGTTATCAATTAATCAACCATCAAATTAATAAATCATTTAATATGGCCATGTAAGCAATCTACAAGTCATCATTGAATCGTCAACCAATCATTAAATCAATGAACTAACCATTTGATCAATCTTATAACCATATAACCAAACAACCAATCAATCAATAGGTATGAACTAAAATCATATTGGTTTTGAACAAATCAAAAATAACATGTAAAAACTTTTTCATCAAACTTTATATTTTTCATTTTATTATTTTGTTTCTGAGCGTGATTTTCCCAATTTTCCCCGGCTTCTCAAATTTTCTTTTTCTGCCTCGGTGTGTAGGTAAACATAATAATATGAATGTTATTATAATATCAGGGATTCCTTGACAGATTTTTCTTGACAATACACTCAACAGTATAGAAGAGAGTATAATTGGATAGGACTAGTACCTATCAACAGTATAGAAGAGAGTATAATTGGATAGGACTAGTATAATTGGATAGGACTAATACCCATCAACAGTATAGAAGAGAGTATAATTGGATAGGACTAGTACCTATCAACAGTATAGAAGAGAGTATAATTGGATAGGACTAGTACCTATCAACAGTATAGAAGAGAGTATAATTGGATAGGACTATGTAGTACCTATTAACAGTATAGAAGAGAGTATAATTGGATAGGACTAGAACCTATCAACAGTATAGAAGAGAGTATAATTGGATAGGACTAGTACCTATAGAATGATTTGCTGTTTGTTAAAAGTTAAATTCTTCAGAAGAAACAAAAGCAATAAATAGGGTTGGAAGTTTAAATTTAACAAACATTTTATTCAAAACTGTTCGTTTCTAACTTTTATTTGCAAAATCAAATGCGAAGGATGTCTGAGCGGTAAAAAATTCCAAAGTAGTCTAGAATGACAAAAGTTTCCCTATTCGCTGCAGCTCTAAAAGTTTATAAATCATCATAATGGGTTTAATAAAAACCATGTTTTCACACCCGACATTCTCAGCCAGGATATAATCTTATATCCAATGGGAATATGAGAAGGTTATTAACCATGTAATTGGATAAAAGTATAAAAGTGTTTTTAGAGGGAATAACAAAAAAATACTGTAAAGGGAACATTCACAAAAACTGAAGTCAAATGTTTCCTTCCTTTGAGTACAAATCCAAAACGAATCAAATTTTTCGTGACCGATGGTGTCGTTTGAAGAAAAAACGGACGATGGACGAAAGATTTGGATCATTTTAAACGAATGAAACAAAACGAACTATTTAAAATCGTTTCAACAAACTTGAAAAGAGGATCGCTTTTTACAAAAAGGATTTCATTGAACGAACGATTTTACTGAGCGGTTGTTCACGGAGAAAACGAACAAAACATATTGAATTAATGAACGATAACTTTGAAAATAAACGACATAAATTTTTTGTTTAACAATTGAAAAAAAAGCCAAACGAGTCGTTCATAAACGATAAACGAACGAAAAGAAATAAACCCAAACCCGCCCATTTCTATTTAGTATTTTCAAAAATGAACGGCGATGTTGTGATTTCCGTATTGTAGAGGTATAAAAACACTGATTTTAATGTTCATAGAGATACAGAGAGCTATAAGTTTTCAAGACCGGATCCACTCTGAAGTGTCGCAACAATTTGGCCTTTCAATATACCTTCACTTTTTCTTCACTTTTAAAATGTTCTATTCCTAACCTACGCATGCACATTTCGATAGCTTACAACTTTTGGATCACTGTGTGTTGAAACTTTAGCTTGTTTTGTGTAGGCCTGAACTAAACCATATTCCATAATTTAAAATGAACTATTTCTAAAAAAGGGGTTGTTAGCGCTCCACTGCTTAAATTTAATTTACACCCTTCTCCTCGTATAAATACTGATTGGTATTCAAACCATTTATAATATCTGACACACCCCACTCCAGGTTATATTCAGAGTTAAGTTTACATTTTTTCTTCTCACCTCTCTTATATTGCATTTTTTTGATTTTATGGGATAACAGACACTTTAATAAAATCCATTATTTTAAAACGATTTGCCATTTTATCCAACTAAAAATCTGTTGAAAAAAAATTACTAGTTTTCTCGCATTTACTGCTTAAATTCAATACTTAAATAATTAATAAATAAAGATATTTTGTAGTTTTATTTTCAATTTCTTTTATTTTTAGATTTTTTTCTTCTTTTATATTTGAAATTTTATCATATATAGACTTCCTTGTACATATATATACATTCATATTTAATGTACTGTACTGGCATGAAGAATTATGCTCACGTGACGAATTGAATTGGATTCAGTTCCAAGCTGGCAGCACACTAGAGCTGGGCCGAGGGGGGGATGGCAAAAGCCTCGAAACACTTAAAAATGAATTTTTAAATCTCTACATGTTTGATTTTGTTGACAAATAAAGAAAATACTTTTATTAAAATTTTAAACATAAGTTATCTTACTTTAACTCCGAACCCAAGATTTGGTGATTTTGCCATCCCCCCCCCCCTCCATGATTCCACTGCATAAATCTCCGATCAAAGAGGTTGAATTGAACATGTTTAACAATTCAATACTATTCAATCAAATTTGAGATAGATCTGTAGAATTCTGGATGTACAGAGAGTTCAAATAAACAGGAGAATTTTAAATATTTGATGTTAAAATATTATTAAAAAGATTGATAAATCAAAGATATTGAGAATTTTGTTTCTTTTAAATTAAAATCAAATTAAAAAAAATATTTTTAAAATTATAAATGAAGAAAAGTTTGATTTAAAAATTTTTGTTTAAGTATTTAAGTATCTAATACTTTTTAACAAAAACAATATTCAACGGAGATCAATTTTGGACACAACCAGAGTTTACTTTTATTTTAATATTTATTATTAAAATTTAAATAATTTTAAGATTGATTTTTCCCGACAGATTTGTCTGGTACCTAGAGTCTACTATGAGGCTGCCCCTGT